GTCTGGTATCTAAATTGTCATGCGCACCGACCGCTTTTTTCATCCACATTAGTGATGGGCTTAATCGATGGATCCCCATAATCGAATACTCGAATAATTGAAAATCGAATGTATCGAGTGTTCGAATCATATCATTCGGATGATTTATTAATTGCCATCAGCAATGGTCTACTGCATTCTGATTGGGTAGTTCAAGATCAATGTGTCAAAAGTTAATATATTGACAGTTAACTATTCAATCAGATCGCAGTACACCAAATTTAAAAACGTCATACGTCAGTATTTACTTTTATTTATGTGCATCCGTTTTGGCTTACGGCGCCGGTGTGCGACATACTGATTGGAGGGATCGAATGGTTCCTCCGACTTGTCAGATATCAATCCAATCAGAAGGCGGTACACTAAAGGTGCAGACTAAAAACGTTGTATGTGTATCCTACTTAAGATAAATAAGTAATTTTGACGGCTTACTCTACTCCATATTTCAACAAGTCCCCTGGGGACCTATTGTCATGTATTAGCGCAAAAACAGTATTTTGCAGGCCAGTCAAAATTACAATTCTAAGGGATTCTTAGGAGAATTTTAATTCTCCCGAAAAACCGAGAGAAACAGTCATTTAGTTCTCACTGGCTTTAAAAATACTTTTTCCACATTGACGTATGACATTTCTCATAATAGGTCCCCTACAAGTCACTCTCTTTCGTTTATTAAAATTTCAGACATTTCAAATGATTCGAATGATATTGGTATAATCGAATTAATTCAAATGATATAAAAATCGAATATTCGAATGATTTATCATTCGAATGATCACATTACTAATCCACATCGGCTTAGAAATTAGGAGTAGGGTTTAGGATATATGGCTATCCAGTTTAATATTACGGTCGGTGGGACAGATTTGGTTTTGGGCTAACGAGAGGGGGGGCAGCCGGGACTAATTCCCGGGGCCCGGGCCCAAGGAGGGCCCGGCCGCTTTATGTGAGGACGTTTTTTAGACGTTCTTTAGACGTTCTTTAGACGTTCTTTAGACTTCTTTAGACGTTCTTTAGACGTTCTTTAGACGTTCTTTAGACGTTCTTTAGACGTTCTTTAGACGTTCTTTAGACGTTCTTTAGACGTTCTTTAGACGTTCTTTAGACGTTCTTTAGACGTTCTTTAGACGTTCTTTAGACGTTCTTTAGACGTTCTTTAGACGTTCTTTAGACGTTCTTTAGACGTTCTTTAGACGTTCTTTAGACGTTCTTTAGACGTTCTTTAGACGTTCTTTAGACGTTCTTTAGACGTTTTTTAGATGTTTTTTTAGACGTTTTTAGACATTTTTTTAGAAGTTCGCCACAAGAGCACTACAAAAGTGAGCAGTCGTAGAAATGTTTGCTTGAGGACCTTTTTTAGAGAATTCATTAAAGAGGAGGAGGAGAAGGAGAAGTTGTTGCTTCAGAACCATTTTTTTTAAATGTAATATTGAAAAGGCTTAATTTTTTATAACATTGTCACGGGGCCCGACCTGCAAAATTGTTTCGGGGCCTGACCTGGCTCTCGAAGGCCCTGATAACTATTGTTTGTAATTTATTTTCAGCCTCTTCGTGATCTTTGCCTGCCGCTAGGATGGCAATATCATCTGCAACTATAGTTGTTGTTTCTTTTTCTAGTTGAGGTTTGTCGCAGGTGTATAGTAGCAGGTACAAAATAGGACCCAGGACGCTTCTCTGTGGTATTCCTGTTTTGATTTATTTTAATTCACTGTATGCTTACTCTGGTTTTACTCTGAAGAACCTAATTGAATTGTATGAATCCAATAATTCTGAGTATGACTGTTGAATCTAAATAAAGTGCGTACTTTGAAGCTAAACATTTTACTTGTTTTTACACTTTACAATTAAGAATATATATATCGAAATGATTAGTCGCATTTTTTTAAAAATCGACAATCTACTTATATTTCGCCGGTCTTTGTTTTACTATGAAATTACCCAGCGCATATAAGAAACCTTTGTATCAAATAAAAATCTAATTTATAAATTGCAAGAGAGAGAATATCTGTATTTCCTCAGCGAAGCAAAACTTTTCTAATTCGAAATTGAATTCCTCAAGTTTTAACGGATAATCTTGTTTCAAAATGCTGTGAATTCTGTAGAAATCGATGAAATGAAAGACGTGAAAGGAAATAATACGACTAAGATTTTTCGATAAAGTACAGTACCATAGCCGTACCTAGAAACGGCATTTAAAAGAAAACTAAAGAAAACACAAGAAAAAATCAATTCAATGTCTTTTTAAAGCTTTTAATGTAAGTAAAATAATGTATTCATGTCTAAATATAATATTTATTGTAAACTAGTCGCAATATGTATCTTACGAAGTGTAGTTTATTTTAATATAAGTTTCTATATAATATAAAATTTTACAGTTATAGATACTGACTTACAAACAACAATAATTATGCATTAATTTTAACTTACTAGAAAAGAAAATTTATTTTTAATAGAGTTTTAATGTTAGATAAAGAGTTGCTACTGTTATTTTTTTTTGCCCCAATTGTGTCATTGTAAATGTTTTTTATAGGATACTAAACGTTTAGAACAGTGGCAGCATCCTATATCGTTCCTAGTGCCGATAAAGCACTTTCTAGAGATGATGCTGATCTATACTTTTTAGAAGATATTATCAAATATTATAAGACTATTTTTACAGATGGTTCTGTTAGCAAAATAAAAAGGGGAAAGCTGAAATTAAAGGATGAGGTAATACCATGTACATTCCCAAATCTCCCGTTATACTTGTATTACAACAATAAAAAATCTGTTAACTGTGTTTTATTTTACTCTTAAAACTATATATTAGTTCAATGCAAAAAAAATTTGCCACAAAATTGTACTTATCAAATTTCAGCAATTAAGAAACCTTTTCGAATTTGGTCATGCATACATACCTAATTTGTATTTTGTATAGATAAAATTAAATAATGTATCAATTAAAACATGCAAGACTTATTTAGAAATAAATACAACAGTATGTTCTGTGCTTTATTTAGCTGTGAACAAGTTTATTTTTATTATTTTGATAAAATTATGTATAATTCCCATAAGAAGCCATGTATTTTGAACAACGTATGCAGTACCAGCGCCCATGCGGTTAATTATAGAAGTTCAATTAGCATGCGTTTTTTGGGACCGTGTTTTGAGTATGCCGATTCGTCTCCTTATCTCTAGTCTTCATAGTCGCAACCCTTGGATATATCAAATCTTCCCACTGGCAGTTCATTTGTTTGGAATGCCTAATACAATATATGACAGCCGCCTATATTCAAATAGCAGTCTGAATTTGTATCCTTGGAGTGGATGTTATTTTGGAACATCAAATTGGTCCCAGTGAGCTAACTGATTCTTTAGCTATAAACCGTGACGTGGTCATCACAGATATGAAATGAATGAAATAAAATGACAAATGTAAAACTTTTAATTTTTAATTATTAAATTATTGTTTGGTTGTGTTATTAGTAAAATCGAAAGCAAGGCTGAGTATAGGGTTGCCAGATTTTCGAAAGGGAAAATGGGACAACTGTAACGACAGGGGATCACATTAAAAAAAACAGGTTTTTTTTTATAAAATAAGCACATTTTTTTGTAGAGATCTAAATAAAAGGTCCTCCGCTTATATTTATTTAAACCATCAGGTTCCTTTTTCTAAGGAGCTTCTCAAAAAAAGGTCAAAAATTGTCGAACATTTTTTTATATTTAACTAAATTTAAAAAGCTTATCATTTAAGTGAAATGCGGAGCATTTTCGTACTTTGGCGTAACGCGTGCCAGAAAGTTAAAAATCAGGACATTTACGCCCAGCTGAGTACCTAGATATAGACGTTTTTAAGGTTTTTGTGAATGAAAAGCCAATTTATTTTCATAATAGCCAAGATTTATTAATGAACATGGCAAAAGGTTTGATAAAATTTCAGAGGCCAAAGCAACTACAACATCAATTTTCTCTTCGCCCATGATCAGTACACAAAACAAATATTTATTAACCAACTTCAAAAAAAGAGAAGGTTCTCAATTCGTCGTAATATTTTTTTTATGTTCAGCGATAATTCTTTAACACGGTGTCCGATTTCAATGATTATTGTTTTGTTAGAAAGGAAGCACTTCAGGAGTGGTTCCATATAAATCTGGTCAAAAATCTAAAAATCCTCAAACTCTTTATTTTTTATGTTTGTTCAACGATAATTCTATAACACGGTGTCCGATTTCAATCTTTCTTTTTTTGTTAGAAAGGGTACTTCAGGGATGGTCCTATATAAATTTGGTCAAAATCTAATAATTAAGTCCATGAAAAAATCTTCAAACTCTTCATTTTTTATGTATGTTTATCGATAATTCTTTACTACCTTGTTCGATTTCTATGACTTTTTTTTGTTAGTAAAGGGTTACCTCAAGGGTGGTCCCATATAAATTTGGTCAATATGTGGTGATGACATTTGCATGATTTTGAAGTCTGTTTTTTAAAATTACTTTTATAACTTGTTTTGTATTCCTGCAAATTTAAAACCAAATCCTAACTACAATACATAATACACAAACAAAAATTCACGATATCTGATAATGTCATGCGCATTGTCAAGTTAGTGTCAATATAAAGGAAACATTTTTAAATCAGAATAATACTGATTTAAAATCGCCTTAGGTAAACATCAGAATTTTTAAGTTTGCGCATCTTTACACGCTTACGGTAAGGTTCGATTAGAATTTACACAGTTACGTCACCATTTAGCAAAGTTGGTTGTCGCCGCCTATTGGGGGTTAAGTGGAGTGTTAATATAATAAGAATATAGAAAATATTTTTTTACACCTAACATATGACTTATTGATAGTTGTAGATATCATATATTCGAAATTCGAACTAATGGTTATGACGTAGCGGTGTTCTTCCAATTGTAAGCGGACTCTACCACCTATTTCGTTAACTTTTGTGATAAAAAATTATAAGTGAATATTTTTTTCCAGATGCCTCAGTCCAAGATCAGCATACTTCTATGAATTCCCTCCAAATGGTAAGTTTAAAAATAATTTAAAATTTGTTGTATACGCTTTGGGTAACTTCCATTCATTTATAACTTGGCTAACTATGTTTTTCTCTCCCTGTAGAAGTTGCACGTTCAATAGTAATAATTGTTGAAGAAGTTCATATTGGGACGACTAGTTCTAAGTTCCCTAATGAACCTTTGTCGATTTAGTTTATAGTTTGCAGAATAGTCGAGGTTAATATAATTGGCACCCAGTTGAACATTATACTACTATCCATTTATGTTATGTTCTATAAGTAGATGTAGAGCAATTTCCAATTTATTTAGTAAATTTAAAATAAAAAGAAATATTTGATTATTAATGCCACCAGAGGAAGTAAAAAATCATTAAAAACTGCAAATAAATAGACGCTTTAGTTATACTGTATGTATGCAGGGTGCGCTACACTTAACAATATTAAAAATTATTTCGGCATAAATATACAAGTTAATGGTGCAACAAATTAAAATTAATTTCATGTCTGCAGGATGTCCCAAATAAGAATACCAATTTACAGTTTAATTTTTTAAATCTTAAGTTCAGCAATTTAAAATTAGAGGAATATACACAGGGTGACCCAAATCAGAATACCAATATAAAGTTATATTTTTTTAAATGTACATACTGCATTTTTTTTTTAATTTTTAACACGACTCTTAAAAAATTTTAGTTTTATAAATATTTATTATATCCATCTTTGCTAATTTTCGATTTCTTTTCTAAATGTGGTGCCATTGAAATTAATTAATTCTTATTGATTACAAAATAATAAATTGAAAAAATTTTGGAAGTTTATTACAAAATGTAACTTTTTAACCAAAATCATTAAAACAGTCAAATATGTTGGTTGCAATATACGTAATTTTTAACCTACTTCAGAAACATTTTTTTTCTAAATCACTCCATACTATTCCGCTACGACTGCAATAAATAAATATTTTTTTCTAAAATGTATTCTAAAGTCAATCCTTTAAAGCATGGAATAAAGCTAATTACGGTTAATATCATCACTACTAGCCTTTTAAACAAAATTAAAAAGGAACGAACAACATTTTACCTTTTACCTCTAACAAACCAGCTAAACTGCTCTACTAACTGTCCATTGTCCATTTTAACTAACCTAACAGAGTTATGTACTGGTAACCGACATTTTAATAGAGAAAATAATGAAGTGGACGAGACAAGGGCCGGAGGATTAAGTGGATATATATACCGCCGCCTCTTAGTGCACCAGCCGGCCTGGCATCAGTGTCCCTGGTCCCGTTATCCGTTTATTTAAGAGAATAAAAGCCTTGGTAGTTGCCGGTTAGCGGGAAAGATTTATAACAGTCCACTAGGAAATTAATGCATTAAGGATGATATAATGAAGAGTATAAGGGAAAAAAGAAAAACGGTCGTTTTGGGGATTCGGTGTGATTAAATTATAGAAATGACTGTCCAGCAGGTCAGAAGATTAGTGAAATTTTATTTGGGAAAGAAAATTTACAACTGGGATAACCTAGTTAAAAAATATTTATCTATACGCGGGAAAGATTTTAAGTCCAGTATAAGTTAAAGCGGGTGATAATGAGACTAGGGTCACGTTAATATATTTTTCCTACGACCACTTAGGAAAGTGACACATATCGCACTATTTAGTTTTACAAGCAGTGCCATATATCACACGCGTGTGAATAAGAACCTACTCTCCACCTGTGTGTGACTCTACTTTCCGCATCAGCTGTCAAATATGTCAAACGAGTAATTTTTATTTCGATCTATGTAATGTCCCTATTAACAGTAAAATCGTGAATACTGCTTTTTATACCTAGATTTCAGATATTTATTTGTAAACAAATTATTAAAATCATTTAAAGTCGGTAATTACATTATTTTTAGTTTTTTTTTGTTAATATACATTAGATAAAAATTTAATTAGATAATTCATGTGACAAGCTTGTTAGTAGGGTACCACCTGTCCTTTTCTGAAAAGGACAGTCCTTTTTTGAAGCAAAATGTTCTTGTGACTTTTTAAAGCTTAAAATGTCCTGTTTATGGCAAATGTCTTCTTTTACGACAAATTTATTTTTCTACAACAAATGTCTTTTTTGACTGACAGCACATTTTTGGAAGGGACATGACATGGTTTGTATAAAAATATATAAGGTGAGATCATCCCACTCATTTTCATCCCAACACCCTGTAGAGTGCAACAGTTACATTATGAAGTTATAATTGATGTCACAATTTAGCCTTATCTTTTCTTAACAATTTCTTTTTTTATTTACTTCATTATCTTTCCTATTGCACGAGAGACTCAATTTTGTAATTTAAAATGACTATATTCATTCAAATTATCAAATCAATATGCCATGAAAACTTACTCCCGAAGAATGTGCTCAAGCTTTAATATTGTTTGAAGAGTGTTGGAGTTACCGAAGAATTGGTAAACGATTTGACGTAACTCACACAAACATTTCACGAGTTATACAAAGATATAGAAAGACTGGAAATCATGGTCGTAGGCTGGGACAAGGAAGAAACCGATTAATTACTCCGATTCAGGATTGATTTTTAAGACCCAGCTTCGCGATGCTAATGGTTTAAAAGTTTGTACGGAAACTATTCGTCAGCGACTAAGGGAACATACTTTAGAATAGCTGCTCGAGGTCCAGCTCTAACTAGAATTCATCACAGAGCGAGGCCAAATTTTACCAGGTAGCATCTTAACTGCTTAGAGGCTGAATGGCAACAGGTATTATTTACTGATGAGTCTCGATTTTGTTTGTATGCGCATATATCGACGCCCTAATGAACGGTATGCTACTACTTTAGTGCTTATAATGGTAATGAAAATTAATATATTCATTTTAAGTTATAAAATTGAGTTTATCGTGCAATAGGAAAGATAATGAAGTAAATAAAAAAGAAATTGTTAAGAGAAGATAAGGCTAAATTGTGATATCAATTCTATCTTGATAATGTAACTATTGCACTCTACAGGGTGTTACGACTTTTATAAAAAAAAACACGTTATAATTGCTACACGCTGTATTAATTTAAAAGAGGGTTTTATACAAACACAGCACATCAACATTCTGGAAGAGACAACCTGTCATTCAAAAGAAAAAATCGTCCAAATCTTACAAGTGGTTTTGACAAATAATTACTTTAAACTTATTGTTATTTTTTGATGGTGCGTTAATTTATTGGGTAAGTGTATATGAAATCAATTTAATTAAAAATATTAAAACTAAAATGTTGAGCTGCCATGCGAAAGATCCTCGGTTCAAGTCTAGGATTGGAGACTAATAATTAAATTAAATCTTTTACTATTTTTTTTTTTATAAGTTAGTCATAATTAATTTTTAAATTAGTTACTTTTTCTTAATAACCTAAAATAATTTATAAAATTAGTAGATTTTGCTATGGACAAATTACACATGACAGTATTGGGAAATTTTCATTATCCCAAACAATTATTAATTTTTAAAAGTGTTTTTTTGAAGTAGTAGATAATGAATGAAAAATATTATTTTAAATGGTGTGTTTTCTGAGACTTTGAATATCTTCTCTATCGCCGTTGCAGAAAGAAGGGTTGTATTTCCCATCAGCTAGGACAATGGAGTGTCGTAATGTAGATAGTAGAACAGTATAATGTTTGTCGATAAACTGCCAGACTTTGATTTGATTATGATGAAATTAAATGTGTTTTCCAATTCCAATTAACAACTTTATTTACGCTAGAAACTGTCTTCAGCTTACAATTTTACCTATTGAAGAGATAAAAGTACTTAAATTTATGATTTACGAATATTTAGCAGGTTTAATACATTTCAAATTTAGCATTGAGCTCGCGACGGGAGAAAGCAAAGACTTTGATGTGTGGAAAGTCAAGATTAGGGATGTTGCGATACTACTGATATGATACTGGTGTCGATACTTTTCTAATACCGGGTAATTTCGTACTCGATACTTTGCTTTCGATACTTTACCCATATCGATACTACTTTTGTTTCGATACTACTACTTTCGTTTAAATATTTTACTAGTTTTGACATTACAATATATACAAAAAAAGTGATCCTACCACTTTATGGGATGTTGCACAAATATGTTTTTCCTGGAATTCGAAAAATCGTTTACTGTTGCTATGCCGACAGGACCGTCTTCAAATATTTTTAAATTCGGTGATATATTGTAATAAATGATTAATAAAATATATTGTCGTTCTACTGCTTATTATATATTATTTATGCGGGGTGATTTATGTGGATTATAAAGAAATTATTTATACGAAGTGATTTATATGGTTTAAAAATAGAGTAAATGCTTATTATTTTTGAATATGGTGTATGGCGCGTATTGTCATCAGGTTAGTAATAGTATTTGCCATCTAATGGCGAAATGGCCCTCAATAATAGGTGCCATTTAAAAAAGCAAGATTTTGGTAAAAAGGGTGGCACAAAATTGATCGAAAACATTTGATCGAATACATTTGATCGAAAACATTTGATCGAATTCATTTGATCGAAAAAACATTTTATCGAATAACAATTGATCGAAAAGAAAAATGATCGAACAGAAAAATGATCGAAATGAATAGTGATCGAAAAGAAAATTGATCGAAAAACCAAATATTTATAAAATTATAGAATAATAAGAAAAAAGAAAACAAAAATTTTAACTAATTTACCAAAGCTGTGTGGCCTAGAATTATCGCTGGTTGCTTCGCAAAAACAAAAAATGAAAAATAAAATAAAGTTTAGTAACGTACCTAACTAACCCAACTTGTGCGAGAGCAATCAGTTAAATTTAACTAGCACAGGTTAGGTAAATTAGTTTTTTTTATTTTTATAATTTTTTTTTGCGAGGTTAACCGCGACGTTTTCAGACTGGAGCAATTTAACTGATTGCTCTGATATAGGTTAGGTAAGTTAGTTAAGTTTTATAAAAGTAAATAAAAATGAAGAAAACCTAACTAATTTACCTAACCTGTGCGGCCTGG